TTTTGATTCAAGAAATCATCTGACCACAGAAGGACACATTTTCCTTAGAGATGCTTTTGAAGACATTCTCAGACTATGACTTCAGAGCTGCAGCTGGACCAATCTCTTTCTTGGGAGACAGACTCGGAAAGGAACCCTGAAGAGGAAGTCATCTTTCTTGTATTAAAAAAAAAAAAAAAAATCTCGGTCCACTCCACTATAGATTATGGTCTGTATTACCTCTCTAGTAGTTTGGAATATTGCAGCCTGAATACTTTTTCCACGTCTTTATGATTGAGTTGGGTTTGCTTCCTGTGAGAATTACAAACTGTTGTAGTTTTCTAATAGATGGTATTCTTTTGTTTAGCATTCATCTATCCTTGGCCTTCTGCTATTCAGACTTTATTTTTCAGTCTTTATAAATAGCTGGAAGGTTACTGAACTCAATGTGAACTACTGTAAAAAGAAGAGAGGGGGCACGCTTTCAGTCTACCACTTGATTGTGGTAGACTGAGAGCTAGTCATCAGTTTATAGTAAGTCAACCACGCAAAGAGTTCTCTAACATTTTTTTTCTTTTGTCATCAGTTCAAGAACAGCTTTTGTTTTCCCATCTTTGAAACTGTTGAATAATGAATTCCATAGGTAGAGATAGGAAGAGAGCTGTGTCACAGCTAGATGAACACTGTTAGTTCACCACCATCATTAGGCTTTGTTAATGTCTCTGAACAACAGCAAAGCAGCCTGTTTTAAGGTTCTTTTGGTTCCCTGATAAATGTACTTTAAAACTGAGTAAAATAATATTTAGAACAGCTTCGCTCTTACAGTAATTACTGAAAATAATAATTCAGAAAGGTTTACATATTTGACTTCTAATACTTTTTCCCACATTAAGGCTGCATTGGAATTTATTTTTAAAAATGGCTTTTTATTTCCTCAAGCACAAATATGGTGTGACTTTGTATTTAAAAGCTTTGTATTTCATAAATTTTGCCTGTGTAAACATAATTATATTGGAACAGTCATGCTTAGGTGTTGAACTCATCATATTTCCCCCAACATTTTTTTTTTACTGAAGTGGAGATGTGAGGCTAATGTCTGTATTGTTCTTGCTTTCTTTTTCCAGTAGATAATGTCCATTAGATTTTTGGGATCGCAGTATTAAACTAAGTGTAGTTGGCTAGGAAATGCACATGATCCTTAGTGAAAGTGTAGTCCTAAGTACTTTGACTTGAGTGATCTTATGAGGTTTTAATCCAAACTTACTCAAGACTCAGTCTACTGTTGTCTTTTGAAGGAGGCAGGTGGTATATCTGCATAAGAACATCAGTAAGAGTACTGTATATTTTTAATGATTCCCTTGGTAGCTTGGTAAGACTAGATGAATTTCCCTGTCTCTCAGTCTGGAAAACTATTAGATAGTATTCCTTTTAGCAGTAGCCTCTGAGTTTGTATCTACTGAACTGGAGAAGAGAAGAACTCTTTTATTAGTGTGAGATTTGAGTAAAAGCGTTTTGCTATTAGAGATGACAGTTGTTTATTCTGAGTTTCCCTGCAAATACCAGACTAATTGATGTGCATAATGAAATGCAGTATCATATGGAAATGCTTGCTCAGGTCTGAAAACCTGTAAGCAGTGTTCTCATGTGAGCGCAGCAGTCTGTCCAACTGCAAGACCAACAGAAAGGAAAACTATTTGCATTATTCGTGGTTTAGGATCAGACATGTTTCTGCATCAGTGCCAAAACTTGTGAACATTAGCTGTGACTGGTTGGAGAAATTTCAAAGGCAAACTTTTTAGAAGAATCGGTATCACTTCATACTGAAATAATAAATTTATGCTAATATGTAGAATCCATATTCTCTGTCCTCCTCCTTGATTGTCTCTGCAGATTTTGTTCTAGTCTCTGCTTGCTGTTGCTCACATAGCAAAAAGTGCAAAATGAGGCATCATTGCTCATCGTCAGTCACATACATCTTCAGTTACCCTTAATGTTATGCAGGGGGGAAAAAAGTGAAAAAAGTTTATATGTATGAACTTTTACGTTATGGTCTTCTGCAACAACATTTTAATGTTTCTGTTCTATTTCTAGTCCAACAAACACATCTTAACATCAACTCTTAATGCAGTTCAGTACTTTGAACAGCTGATTTCAGAGGTGGTTGATTGCTGTTACTCTTCTGAATAACGCATACATCAGTGCAGAAGGGTAGAATGTGATTTTTTTTTTTTTTTTTTTTTTTTTTTTTGGTCTAGCTAACTGAATGTAGTATTTATAGTGTTAGCTAATTACTTGTGCGTGTTAGGATTCACAAAGGAAATTGCAGGTTTTTGCTTCAGGAAAAGCTACCCACACTACTTACATCCCTATGAATGTACATGTATTCCATTGATATGATGGAACTCTTCGAAAGAATTTTTTGGAAATAAATTTGGGGATCAAATAAAGCTACTTCAGTTGTCATTTGAAATGCTAAAAAATGTCAAATTGTTCATTTATAAACATGGAGGGATGCAAGTAGTTATGGAGCAGTAGTTATGATAGAACAATAGCCAAAAGGTAGCCCTTGAGGACTTCAGTTTTATCTTGACTAGTGACACTTGACCTAGGTATGAACTTTATGCATGTAATACTATGTTTAGAGTTTAGTCTGTGTCTAGATGTGGTTTTGAAAGCATGTTAAAAGCATGTTTATCACCACATCTGAAAAGTCTAGTGTAGACAAGCAAGGCCAAATGCACTGCTAGTGCATGTTAAGCTGAGTAAGTACAAGCTCTGTAATCCAAGAGATGGGATTTAGGCTTGTATATGCATGCCTAGAGCAGCTTGTAGGTGGTAGGTGGGTAGGGATAACCATGGCACAACATGGAATTCAGTGTGTATGGGCACCTGGGTTACTTGACTCTTGCACCCTTCACTGAACTGCAGTTCAGTGCTGCTAGTAGCATAGCAAGCTGTATAAAACGATGTCTTAGTGCGGATGTTAGAGGGAAGCTGTACGTTTAACTTGACTAACTATTGTAAGTGCCTCTTTAGCTAACGTGTTAGATGATTTCATGTAGTAACATCTGGTCAGACACATAGCTGCAGCTTTGGTCTGTTGATTGAAATCATCGTTTGCAAGCTGTCTATCCTCCATGTAGTACAGTATTTGCTTGTACAGGTTTAGTTAATTACCAAGGTATCATGCCTTGTAGTTGTAGCCTGAGGCTTGCTGAGGCTGTTTACAATTGGAATAACTGCTGCACAGCAGACTAGATAGCAGAGGTGTTTGCTTTTGGTGTTTGAGGACTTCTAAATATAGCGAAGATGTTATCTACCAACTACTAGAGTGGTTATGATTAAAATGTCAATACTTGTTATATTTTCTACAATTAAAATAGCTCTTACTTTCTTTTCTGGTGACTGTTCTGCAAATGGCCATCATTTAGGCAATATTTAATTTTAATTTTTTTAATTATGTAACTATTTTCACAACACAGTGACTCATTAGTGTTGCATTTATGATACTAATGTAGGGAGCTCTTACTGAATAACTTGCACATTTGCTTTAAGCAAGCTGCCACATTGAGTTTTGCTAGTGTCACATACTCAGTTCACTTCATGCACCATTTTGAACTTATCCTTTGTTTTAATTTAGGGCTATTAGCATCTCCCCAGTCAGCACCTGGAAATTTAGACACTGGGAAAAGTGATGTTAAAGGTACTGGAACAGGAGGAAGCAGAGAAAACAGCACGGTTGATTTTAGTAAGGTAAATAACATTAAATACTTTAATGTTTAGCATAAAATAACTATGTAACAAAAATGTGTTGGTTTTAACTGCTCTCTTAGTTCCAGCTAAGACACATATATGTATGCATCTGTATGAGTGTGCACAAGACATGTAACTTTAAGACATAACTTGTATGTACAAGTCTCGGAATATGACATAGGCTAAATCTGTCAAACATTTTGAAACTCTTCCCTGTGGGACTGAACATACTGTTTCATTTGATCTTTTCAGTATTTTGGTAACTTACAGAGTGCAGCCATTGTACTTTCTGATGCAGAGGGAGATACTTTTAGATCTGCTACAAAGACTCTTCTTACTAAAACAATTTTGTAGAACTGACTTTTTTTTTTTTGCAAAGAGTGCCTTTGAAGGTGATTTGCTTTGTATATTTTATCAGTTTGCTGTACGAGAGTTATTGTACATCTTAATCATTAGGAGCGTATAACATTACTTTCTGAAGGAAATCTTGTGTAATACTGTAAAACCTTTATATTTCTTTCATAATTTAAATTTACTGGGCAAGTTCCATTATGGCTTTTTACTATATAACTCAGTCTGTAGTGTTATTTGTACTGTGAAACACTGTATGAAAATTGGTTTACCAAGATAAATAATTATGTTTAAGGAAAGCTAACTTACACTGTAGTTCTTATCTAATCATGGCAGGTGCCATTTATTCCTGCTCCTCTGTCACAGTTTTTATGTTTTTGCTTGGCCTGTCCTTCTGTACACCTGCCTTGTCTCCTGTTGGGCAGGAGTCAGCCTCCTGGCACTGTAGTTGTGGCACACTTGGTGTGGGACTCAAGAGGCCATCTGTAAGTTCTCTAGATAGCAATGTAACTGGTGCTTTTGTGTGTGTGTGTGTGAACACAGAGTTCATGTGCTGTACCATTTTTCTAATGCTCTTCTGTAATTATATACAGAAATGAAAGTTAATATTTTCATCCATCATTCTTTATGAATGAAAACATGAACATACAAATTATTTTCCAAAATTATTACATATTTCATATCACTTGTATTAATTTGATGTTACATATTACACAGCTGTGAAATAACTAATTGTATTCGAGAAACCATGTGTAATTACATGAACTCTCCTTAGTTAATTGTGCGTAGATTTTGTTATGTCCTATCATGGAATGTTGGTCATGATAAATAATATTAGAAAGGTGGTTATGCAGTTTGGAGTCTTCTAGAATATAGAAAGTGGTAATAATTCTAACTTTTAGAAAATAGTTTGTTATTAGTTAGCTGTCTGGCTGATGTTTTCTACATGTGTTTGTGTTTTCTATACTGTGGGATATTTAATTTGCTTTTTTATTTTCCTTTGTAGCATAAATATCGAGTAAATACTGATAAACTTATGTTACACAATTTCTGCTAACAAATGTAAGGGAATAAACATCTGTTTCATCTTTGTATGAATAGGTTGATATGAACTTCATGAGGAAAATTCCTTCAGGAGCAGAAGCGTCAAATGTGTTAGTGGGAGAAGTAGATTTTTTAGAAAGACCTATTATTGCTTTTGTGAGGCTCTCCCCTGCTGTGCTTCTCTCAGGTCTCACAGAGGTTCCAGTTCCTACAAGGTAAATACATGCCTGGAAAGTCTGGCTTTACTTATACAATAAGATAATAATATTTAAGATCTCAAATAGTTGTAAATTTTAGATATACTCTATTACGGTCAAGAAATGTACTCTGTATATGAATAACCTAGATGGTGGAAGAACTTCACTTTTATTATATGCCGAAATCTAGATGATTGCCACTGGGGTAACCAGTCTGCAGCTAATACATTGAATGGGTTTTCAATCTGCAATATGCCATCCAGCCTGGTACACCCACCCCCAAGACCCCAAAATCATGGGTCTTGTCAGTATAGTGTGGGTGTATTTACCACAGATGATCAAAATGTCAAAATGCAGGTCCTGTGATGCAGATAGCAAATCATTTTATCAGTCATCATGGAGGATGCTTCATTTTCTGTGCCCATTGATGTATTGGGCTGTTGTGTGGTGTTTGGCATAAATTTTTACATGTACTTTTTTTGTGGTTTTCTTAAATGTTTCAACATGAAAGTGCTTTTTACCTTTGTAATTTTCAGTTTATACACTCTAATGAAAGGCAATAATAATCTTCACAGTGTTCTTATAAATAGAAGTGAGAATTTTCAGAGAGTAGTTGATGTTAGTGCTCACAACGTTTCTTGGGAAACAAAAAAATTTCTGCATACAGATTATTGTATTAATGTATCTAAAATTGTCTTGTGCTAAATTGAATTTTCAGAATGGTGTAGACTAGCAGATTTGGAATAGCGTAATTGATTCTGAAGATGCAATCTCAGTTTCAGTTAGGGTAGTCAACTTGCAAAGGGAAAATAACATTGAGCTTTTTGTACTGTGAGGTGAAAGAAGGCACTACTGTTTTCAAATGTGTTGTACTTAAGAACTTCATTTTCATGGAGTATAGGAAGAAGGTTGTAAAAAGAATGGCTGAGGTTCATTCTTTGGTTTCTGTCCTTCTGAATTGATAAGATACTACTCCTGTTCACATTAAAGCGTGATAACTCTTACTGTGATTGGAAATGGAGACTGTCTGTGAACGCACACTGTGACGCACCCCCAGATTGGATTCTCTTCCCAAAATGTCACTTTTACTTTCTTAGGTGTTCAAAATGTAGGTTCCCTTCCTTTCCATTGACACAGGACCAGGATACGCTCATATGAGTACATCCAGTATGTTGCTTGAAGTGTATCTGTGCATCTGCTGTGTGATGTACCCAGTCACTGCAAGCAGAGGGGTTTAACCCTGTGAAGAGGTCATTGTCAGGGAGGCTAGAATAGGCCACAAAGCTCTTAGGCCCTCACTGAGGGGTCTTTGCCAGTGGGAATGTCAGGAAGCCTTATAATCTGGAGGAAATATTCATTGAGCTGTAGCCTGTGGATTTCTACTACCTTTATGGCAGTATAAAAAGTTGAAAAATTAGGCTTAATTAAGAAGATTTCAGAGTAATTTTGATTCAGGATTTGAGTTCCTTCCGGTAATGACTTTGAGGCGAGTCTTTTCTTAGGTCTTGCAACAGTCTTTAAGATCTGAAATGGTGAAGAGGATATTTTTACTTCACCACTGAATTTTCTTTAAACATTTGTTTGAAAGAACCCTCTGAATTTATTCAAATGAGTCAGCCGCATTCATTTTGATTGCTTTCTCCACAGGTTTTTGTTTTTGTTGCTGGGACCAGCAGGAAAAGCTCCGCAGTACCATGAAATTGGAAGATCAATAGCAACACTTATGACAGATGATGTAAGTGATGTATTTTAAACACTTGTAGTTAAAGAAGTCTAGAATAATGTATTTACAGACTGTTTTCAATAAATGTAATCTGGAGTGACAGATCAAAGAAAAAAGCCAAAACCTAACTAGCTAAATGAAGTACTGTAAACTTATTTCTAGATAACGGTAAATTAACTTTTCCCCTTGTCTTTCTTGAAGAAATCCTAAATGTATTTCTGAGAAAATACTTTAGCTTTGTATTAAATTAGGAAATAGAACTATTAAATAGAACTGTGTTTGATATGAATCACTGTATGTCGAAAACAATACAGCAAACTGCGTAAATGTTCAGGACACAAAGTTTAAGAATCCGTGCAGTTGAGCCATCACAGGTACTTTTTTTATCAAAGTGAGATCAAATAATTGAAGTTAGAGTTTGTCTAGGCATTTGAAGTCATATGCTTAGAGCCCTGGTGGACTGTTTCAAAGAGCACAGGGGAGTCAGGAGTTTTTAAGACTGTCGTCATCTTACTGAACAAAATTAGGATGTTTTAATTCTGACTTTGCATTGAGCGCCACCTACTGAATTGCCAATAATTATTAGGGTTATCTAGCAGGAATTGTAATATTTCTTTACTCCAGAACAATTTAAAGTTTGAAAATGTAAACCAGAAATTGGTCATTTTACAATTGGGCAGCTAGTCTGTGAACACAGTATTTGTTCAGTGCAAGAAGCGAATATTAAATGCTTTAGTTGCAGCTTCTGATTTTTGAGGTAGGCTGTTCTTTAGTAGTACTGAAGATCATTGAAATAGAAAAATATGAATTATTCAGTAGTCTAAAAAGACCTAAATAGTCTTAAAAGATCTAATTTACAATTAGAAGAATTAATGGTTAGCTCTTTGAGAAAAACGGTTCAGGTTTCAAATGTACAGAAGCAATTTAGGATCATCTTCTGCAAACAGTTTTTGTGTGTGTTTTTTTTTTTAACAGCAAAATAGCATCTTGGGATTCAGGGATTTTTTTTTTTTTTAATACTACCCATTTGTCAATTCAGAGTTTGTGTTTCAGTAGTCTGTAAAATGTTTTTTTTCTTTTTGAGTAGTAGGAGGATTGCTTTCATGTGCTTTTTAAGAAGCCTTTTAAAATTAAGGTAGAGGTATACAAATGAAGTTCTTAACCTTCAAACCAAAACACAAGTTTTTGTTATTTAAAGTATTTTTTTCCTGATTTAGCACAGCATAGTGGTACAGTGGCTGTAGGGCAGAATTATTCAGACAATAGTACATGAACTTGATTAACTGAATATTGAAGATTAACTTTTTAATTACTTGTAGAAATAAGCTCAATATTCCTTTTGAGTTTGAAGGCATAACCTCCTTATTTTATGTCCCATAGGGATGTGCATACAGGTAGTTCTTAATGCAAAAGTATGCAAGTAAAGTAAAAGACTCAGTTTTGAGGGCCTTTTTAAAAATAATGCAGTGTTCCTTGTAATCGGTTCCTCTTTCAAAAAAATGAAATAAAAATGAACGGTGGGTGCTTTCTTCTTGTAGGTTTTCCATGATGTTGCCTATAAAGCAAAAGACCGAAATGATTTGTTATCAGGAATTGATGAATTTTTAGACCAAGTGACAGTCCTGCCTCCAGGAGAATGGGATCCATCTATACGAATTGAGCCACCAAAAAGTGTTCCTTCCCAGGTAAAAGAAGAAGTCCAATAGAGAGATCCTATGGTTTTTACTTTGAAAATGCCATTTCCAAATGCAAGTAAATTGTGTAGTGAGTATAAACTTTAATAAAGCATCAGGAAATCCTTCCACATTCTTTTGGAAGAAAAAGTGGATTGTCTGTCTAGTTATTTAAAAAAAAAAAGTGTTAATCAGTTTTCTGATATGCTTTTAGGTAAATTGTATTTACTATATTTCCTTTTGTAATACTGAAATGAATTCATGTGACATCTAGGAGAGTTGGACCAGAACTTTACCTAAGTTCATATTACACGTTCTATTAGTAATCTAACAATGATCGGCAAGAATATTGTAATTCTTATAAAAAATTTTATTTGCATACAACATTGAAATGTTTTAATGTATATTGGCTTGCATATAATGTTCACAGAATGTATATGAAACAGATAAAAATGGATCATATCACTCAGTTGTGACACAAGCTGAGAATGAGAGCAAGGGGAAGGCTAAACCTAAGAGGGACTCTGATTTCTTCCCTTTCTCCCTCCTTAAAACTGAGAGGAATTCCTGCTCCTAGGATCAAAAGTAGGGGGAAGAGATCAGTGTTCTTGGTTCAGAAGATTGACATTGGTGTTCAGTCCCGAATCCTGTGGTGGTTTGGGGGAGTGGGTGGAAGGGAAGAGGTGGCAGCAGTGCAGTTTATTCATTAATAGACTGAGGCCACCACTTGTTTCTGAAGTAAGCAGGGCTTGGGGGGTTTTTGGAAGGCAAACTCAGTGAGAAATTTGAGGCGCTGGTGAGCAGCTTGCTCAACAGAGGAATGACTTCTCATTTATACTTCAGCTAAATACTGCGTGTGTCATGAAGTGAGGTCAGTTTATGTTAGAAGCTAGAGGCTTCTGTTCTGGCAATGATTGAGAAAAAAGATAATCTAAAAGTTTCTAGGCCTCATGGTTGAGCCTCTACTGCATCTTGAAAAGGTAGGCTTTGTTTCATCATGTCTCAGGGGCATATTTCTTGTAGAAAGAGAGAAGATTAAGACTCTTGTGCAAGGTACTAATAAGATTTTTTTGGGGACTGTTGTATAGTTCTAGTCATCTGTACTCAACAAAAGATTAATTTGGCAAATGGAGGACTGCTGATAAGCTGGGAATATAAAAAGGTTTGGAAGGTATAGAGTCTCTGCACACTGACTTTGAATTATACTTTTTAGTGTAAAGGCAGTCTCAAAATATGATTTTTTTTTTTTCCCTTCCTTTTTTCTGTAGGAGAAAAGGAAGGTACCTCAATTTCCAAATGGATCTACTCCTACAGGAGAGACTCTCAAAGAAGAAGGCCATCATGCCGGACCTGAACTTGAGAGAACTGGAAGGTGTGTTCACTTCCCTAAATACTAGCTACCATAAAGAAATAAAAGTGATAAATCTTCACAGTTTTTTAATGTTGACAATTGAACATAAAAAATAATGGTATAAGTGTCAGAGCGCATCCTTTTTCCTTGTCAAGTGTTGGATTCTTGCCTGTAAATTCCAGTCTGCTTAAAGCATTTTCAAGCCTGTGGCAATGTTTCTCAACACATTTGTGAAGGATTTCATATAAGATGCTGCCTAATTTAACTAACTGACTTTTAAGAGTTGGGTTTTAATTTTTAATTGTCAAGAGCATGCGGTTATCGTAATTATAGCAGGTATATACAATTTTCAGTATTGGGCTAGGTACTAAAAATTTCCATTAATGCAAATCTGTTTTGTTAAACATATACAAAATGGAACAACAAGGAATATAAAGTGGTGAAAAATACTTTGGTATTGGTTAGGTTTCAGTTTTGTTTAGGTTTCTTTTAGATCTGAAATAAAATTGTAGGAATTTCTTTCAGTTAGGCTGCGTTGTTGTTCTATGTTAATTCTGAAATACTTGCCAAAAAAGACTGCAACATTGGAAATACCTGGTTAAGATTAAGCCTTAATATCTCATATGAGAGAGTAGAGATTAAATCAACTGAGAAATTCTGGCAAATAAGTACAATGTTTTTATCCCCAAAATGATAAACTTCCAAATGAAGTGCATCTTCTGTATACCTTTGCAAGGAGGACTTTACAACATTTGTGTTGATTTTTACCATTTTGGCTTTGTACTTACTCTTTGCCTTTTTGCAGACAGTACGTAGAGCTGAGAATTTCATTTCTGCCCACAGAATTCTCTCTAGATGATACTATTGTTTTTCTTAGGCATGGAATGTTTGGTGTTTTTTTTTAATAATACAAAATAAAATCAATTTTTTTGTAGGTGCAAATTTAACCTAGAAAATTTTTTTGAAACTGCAAGAAGCTTTTTAACTTCTTGCTAATAACTTACCCTGTTAAACTGACTTACATATGTATGGTTTTCTATTTCCATTTGTAGAATATCTCTGTACTCCAGATAAAACACTGTTAAAAATGATAGACCTAAATTTATTTATAAACCTAACCATGTTTATATAGAGAATTTGAATCAAAAAGCTACAGCTGCTTATTGAGTAGTAATAATTGAAATGTATCAATGCAGTGGTCTTGGTTGAGCATTAGCATATTTTTTCTGTTCCTTGTTTTGAGTATCATAAGACAGATTGTGAGTGAAAACATTATTCAGGTAAAATTGTTTGCAAAGATATTTTTTCAGTATCTAGCCCATATACAAAAATACCTAGCCAGCTTTTAAAAATGTAAATTAACTGCTTGATTATATTTGGAATACTACTGAATTAGAATGGATAAGATTCTCGTTTACATTTTAAACTGTTATGCTTTAATCTGGATTATGAATTAGCTAATTTGTGCTGGCAATAGGCACTGGCAGTCATGTGTAGCCCATAGTTTTGAACTAGCTAGAATCCTTTAGTGTACAGTTTGACGAGTTTCATCTCACCTATTTAGGCTTTTTGGTGGTTTGATACTTGACATCCAAAGGAAAGCACCTTTTTTCTTGAGTGACTTCAAGGATGCATTAAGCCTGCAGTGCCTGGCCTCGATTCTTTTCCTATACTGTGCCTGTATGTCTCCTGTAATCACTTTTGGAGGGCTCCTGGGAGAAGCTACACAAGGCAGAATAGTGAGTACAAAGAATGGTAGCGGCCAGGCTTTTAGACCTTCAGAGGCAAGTCACTGTGTGCATTTGTCTCATTTATTTATACTTGTATTTGAAGAATTTACCCACAGCACTTGATTAGCCTGCCCCAAAGCAGATCTTCCCCAAAAGGTAATTGCTGTGGAAAATGTGGGGAACCCATGTGAACAGGAGAAGATGCACAGTGGAGGTAAAAAATGTTTATCCTGCCTTATTGGATGAATGGCTTCATGAATTGAGAAAGGGCTTGCATTGCCTTCTTTTTGGCTACTTACAAATAATGAATAGCAGTAAAGGTGCACCATCCCACTAGGCCTACTTTAGGCAAAGTCAGAGGCTCAAGGTGGATAGCCAAGAACATGTACTGGCCTTGAGTAGTAGGCCTATGAGGATGTTAATGCCTGCAGTGTATGAGTAGCAGTCATTTGTGTATTTAAGTAACAGACAGGATATATATATGCTTTCACTGATGATATGTTGTTAACAATAAAAGAAAGTGGCTAAGGTTTATGAGCAGAAAATACTCTTCATTGTAAACGACTTGATTATACACCATACAGTACGAAATTTTGTTAGTGTTATGTTGATAGTAGATAACACCAGCACCTTTTTAACCAAAACACCATTGCACTTTGGGTTTTGGAGCAGGGAAACAATACTTAACATCAGCAATGTTAATAACTCAGTGTTTGTGACAATTGGCTTCTGGGTAAACTGCTTTGAAGTGTATTTTCTGGTTTTAAATCTACCATGAAGAAACAAGGCTCTGCCCTTCTGGGGGAGGGAAGGATGTATTCAGACATGTCCTTTACAAATGTTAAGAGTCTGGTAAAGCTTATGATGCTGTAAAATTCTTCTTGATACTTAGATCAAGTTTTTAGGCTTGTACTATATTAAAATTTAGTTAACTATCTCTTAAGTAATACCGTTGACTGAGATTTTTGTGTATTGATGTAGCACTTCAAGCTGATAGCAAATACAGAAATAGATTATATCTCTTCTGTGTGCTGTTTTTGCCACTCTAAATGTAGGAATGGTTATCAAAATGTTGATGTAATTTTTGAATGTACGTCATGTATAATTATGAAAATATGCTCCTTTTAAAGCTTGATTCTTAAACACGTTCTTTCTTTTAGCTATCTGGGATTGTTTGCGGGTTTGTTCCTGCCTTCAGATACTTGGTGTGCATCATTGAATATAAAATTTAGTTACTGCACACACTTGTTCAAGCACAGTAGCTGACATTGTAAGGTACACAGTTTGTGTTTGAAACTTTCCCTCACATTTCCCAGAGGTCATCACCTCCACAATACTCCTGTCCCTGCCACCCTGATTGGGAGCCCCAAGGTTAATGCATTGACTAACCAAAAGCACTAATTCAAAGGTAATAGAACAAGAGACTGGAATTATACATATTTTTTTTTCTAATGTAATGAACAAAGGACTCATGTTTTCATTTTTAATAGCTCCAGTTCAGCAAACCATTTTGCCCAATTTTAGATGCTTTCCTGAACTGGAGCTTAATTTTGCATAGGCTTGCATAATAGCAAAATAGCAAACACTTAACAATTCCACCAGGAACCCTTTAATCTGTAATCCGTGACTTCTTATAGTTCTAAATGATGTAGCTAACTATTTTCAAGTAACTTAAATATCATTTTAGGATCTAAAAAGTCCTGTCCCTCTCTCTTGAGGTGCATTGTAACTTAGTTTTAGCAGAAAATGTTACAGTAAAACGTTTAATCCAAGAGCTGAAGTAGGTATCTTACGTCAATGAAAAGAAATGCATTACCAGGTGGGACATTGGTTTACTGCTCATCTATTTTTGGTGTCATATATACATAAACCAATATTGTTTAGTAATTTCTCCTGCACCTCCACCTGTCAGTTTTTTCTTTTGTAATGCTTGGTTGACTGATGCAGGTTTGATACGGCACACCGTATCATGTTTTGGTCCAGGTATGTTGCAGTATATATATCGATTTTCGTTAGAGACAGATAATTCTTTCAGTAAACTACATGTTAAGTAACCTTTTTTTTAATTTGTAGTAATTGTTGGTATGTTTTTCCTCCATAGCAAGCAGGACTAGTAACTTGTTCTCATGGTTTTCGATGGCTTTATGTTTTTCAGGAGTGACGTTTTCAAAATCTTTTGTCGATAGTATTGTTACCGCAAAACTGTGTTAAGTTATTCTTGTCTCAAACATCAGTATTAATTGCAATGTTTTTACATCTTGTCTTGTTTCTAAGTTAATGCATCTTAAAACTGTATTTATGCAGATGTGATGCTAAACGCTAACCTGAAAGACAGCATAGTTACAGCAGTTTCTTTTCCCCAAACAGAGTGCAATAGAGTCTCTCTTTGGAGCCTCATTAACTGGGATTGCCTATTCTCTCTTTGCTGGGCAACCTCTAACTATTTTGGGGAGCACCGGACCAGTTCTAGTATTTGAAAAAATATTATTTAAATTTTGCAGGTAAGTGGTGTTTGTATTAGCTTGATGTACTTTCTAACTTTGTAGCCTGTTAGAATAACTGTAATTGGAAGCAGATGTGTGTTAAAAATGGATGTCCATGAAGATGTAAATGCAGTGGCAAGAGACTGAGAGCTGTATGTGGTTTGGCAAAGCTGTGAGGCACTGATGAGCCTTAATGAGAAAATCGGTGGTAAGAAGTTATGTGTGGAGATGTTCGCTTTCATTCTGCAGGGGTAAAGAGGGATTGCTCTGCCCTCTAGGAATAAGCATCTAGGTAGTTCTGGAAAGATCATCCCCATGATACTTCACAAGCTAGGTAGTTGCACCCTCAATCCTAGAAACACCTTGATGTGTTGCTTTGGTTTGGTGGAAGTTGAGACAGGAAAGTTTCTGATTCCTTCAGAAGTAACCATCAAGGATGAGAGAAGTGGTGAATTCCTAGAGAGCTCAGCCTCAGTATCTGTTTTCAAATAGAATATAGTATAGGTGACTTTTGGCTCAGTTAATACTTTGGTTTCTTTCTTCACACAGGGATTATCATCTTTCCTACCTCTCCTTGCGAACTAGCATTGGTCTGTGGACTGCATTTTTATGCATAGTGCTTGTAGCCACAGATGCCAGCAGCCTTGTGTGTTACATCACTCGATTTACTGAGGAAGCTTTTGCAGCGCTTATATGCATCATATTTATATATGAGGCATTGGAAAAGCTTTTTCATTTGGGAGAAGTGTATGCCTTCAATATGCACAATGATTTGGATAAACTGACTTTATATTCGTAAGTATGAAGTTTCTCTCTGTTAGTAAAATACATAGGGAAAATGTTTATAGTATAGAGACATACCATTTATTAAACTGCATGGAGTGCCTCTCTCTGGAAGCCTGCGAGGAATGCTGGGGATGGTACGGGCATGAGAAACCTCAGAAAAATTCTATTCAAGATGCTGTGGAATTGAATTTTCTCTGTTAGCTATGGGTGGTTGGAAGGGATGAGGGGCTGTGACAATGCCTGCTTTAACTGCAGCTTTATGAAAGGACAGGCTGGAGATTAAAGGTCAGAACAAGAGTTCTGCCTTGCCATCTCTAGAAATCATGATAGTTTACCTCACCTGAGTGAGGAATATTCCAGGTAGCTGAGGCTTGGAAAACTTATGCAACTTTCACGTGCTGTGAATGGGGAGTGAACCTCTTTAAACAGTTGCTTTCTACCGTGATTATGGGGAATACTTGACTTTTAAAACATTATTTTTTGAGAGAGAGGAGAGTAATAGAAAATACAATACACCCATGTTTTCTTTTCTTTCCTAAGTAGAACTGTTTAGTTCTGTTCATCACAGTAACTAGCAGTAAAACTATCAATACAAAAATAACTTCATTTCATTTAAGGAATGCAATAAGCAAGCTATTTAGGTATCTCTTTTTTACATTTCATTTATTTCTGTGGCGGTTGGATATTGCTGCATGTGGTGGGTTGACCTTGGCTGGACGCCAGGTGCCCACCAGGCTGCTCTATCATTCCCCTCCTCAGGTGGACAGGGGGAGAAAAATACGATGGAAGGCTCGATACGATGGGTTGAGGTAAGGACAGGGAGGGATCACTCTGCAATTACCATCACAAGCAAAACAGACTTGACTTGGGGAAATTAATTTATTACCAATCAAATCAGAGTAGGATAAAGAGAACTAAAGCCCAAACCTTAAAACACCTTCCCTGCCACTTCTTCCTGGGTTCAGCTTCACTTCTGATTTCTCTACCTCTTCCCTCCGAGTGGTGCAGGGGGTGGGGAATAGGGGCTGCAGTCAGTCCATCACACATTGTTTTTGCTGCTACTTCTTCCTCGCACTCTTGCCCTGCTCCAGTGTGGGGTCCCTCCCATGGGAGACAGTCCTCCACAAACTTCTCTAATGTGGGTCCTTCCCACAGGCTGCAGTTCTTCACAAACTGCTCCGGCCTGGGTCCCTTCCACAGGGTGCTGTCCTTCAGGAACAGACTTGTCCAGCATCAGGAACAGACTGCTCCAGCATGGGTCCCCCACAGGGTCACAAGTCCTGCCAGCAACCCTGCTGGAGCCTGCGTGGGCTCCTCTCTCCACGGGGCCACAGGTCCTGCCAGGAGCCTGCTTCAGCGTGGGCTTCCCACTGGCTCACAATTTCCTTTGGGCATCCACCTGCTCTGGTGTGGGGTCCTCCCTGGGCTGCAGGTGGAGATCTGCTCCAGTGCGGAGCTCCGTGGGCTGCAACGGGACAGCCTGCCTCACCATGGTCTTCATCACAGACTGCAGGGGAATCTCTGCTCCTACGGATGGAGCACCCCCTCCCCTCCTTCTGCACTGACCTTCGTCTGCAGAGTTGTTGCTCTTACATATTCTCACCCCTCTCTCCATCTGCAATTGCTGTTGTGCATTTCCTGCCCCCCCCTTCTTAACTGTTACCCCAGAGATGCTGCCACCATTGCTGATGGGCTCAGCCTTGGCCCGCAGCGGGTCCATTTTGGAGCCGGCTGGCACTGGCTCTATCAGACGTGAAGGAAGCTTCTGGCAGCTTCTCACAGAAGCCGCCCCTGCAGCCCCTCTGTTACCAAAAGCTTGCCACATAAACCCAGTACACTACCTTTTGGTGTGCAGCTGTACCACTTCTGAATTAAGAGTTTGCTTATACAGTGAAATTAGCGTTGATTGCTTTTTATATCATGTGTCTTGACACTCTGTATTTTTTACTTTTTGATGATATGCTTAAATGCTGCTTTACCTTTTGATGCTTAGTGTGGAGTTTCCAAGCTTATGATATAGTTTCATGAAATATGATGAATTGAGTTACCAGAGCACGCCTGCCAGGAGGAGGAGATCCTGCTAGCTGTTGTTGAGAGAAACTGCTCATTTCACATAGCTTAAATCAAATCAAAAGCAAAGCTATTCTTTGATTCATCAACCACACACAATTAACTGTCAATCGGTGATGCATACATTCAGGATCAGTATCAGTAGTACAGCAAATAAACCACAATGCGAGACACTTAAGGAACACTAGTAACAACCAACACATTTATAAATTGTCTTCTATTACTAATCCCCAAAAGTTCTAATCATGCCCACGCCAACATTTGCCCTTCAGCCTCAGACATGTGGGTTACAGTCACACACCGTCTTTGAGGAGCATAGGTTTCTCTGCTAGTGCTCCCCTCAGTGCTCCACATTCCCCATGTTGGAAATGTGCATCCTTATTATTTGTACCTGTGTGGTTCTCTACAGTCTGCTAAGTCACACGCGGGTGAGGGAGCTCCCTAGGAGGTCATGTCCATCCATACACCTGAGGTGGGAGTCCCTGCTTGTCGCACCCTGCAGTCAGTCCCTAGTTTGGAGGGCGGACTACTCCCCGTCCTGCTGGGCAGCTGCTCTGCCTGGCTGCAGCAGAGATCACGATGCACACAAGGTGACTTCTGGCAGTGTCAAACTGGGTTTTGACTATTTTGTTTCCACTCCAAGGTGTCTCCTCACTTCTACAAACATTCATGCTTCTTTGGTACTTACTTTCAGGATGATTCCACCCTCCCAAGTCTTTCTGTAGTTCCTTTATTACTGTTTAATCCAACTGATGGTAGTCATCTTCCTCTTCAAAGTGATCAGTTTTCGGTAAACATCCTCTCAGAATGCTTATTGTATTCCATTCACACATTGTATTTATACCCACCTTCCTGTCTTAACAGCTGTTAAGACCAGGCCGTGTTGCCAGCAGTGGGCCATGGGAGCACGCTCACTTCCTAACTTCCCCCTTTCTCCGGGCTGCTCATCCTTCTGTTTCAGCGGCTCTGGGCTCTCACTGGACTCCTGTGTGAGCATGTTAAATTCGCTAATCCAGCAGAAACTGTTCTGTAGGTCTGTAAATCTTCTGACCTTTGCCACTTGATTGCGTTTTGCTGTGCTAGCATAGGCAGGCCATGAGGGTGAGGAGAGGAAGGTGTGACACTTCCTTGGTTCAGCTCTGTGAGGTGTCACACGTGTCTTTCAGGACGTGCCACAGACTTCAGCTTTGGTTTGTCCTATATTTTTTTTTCTGTCACAAAGCTGTAGGAGATCTAGCCTTTTCCAGTTGCCTTTTTTCGTGGTGGGTTTTTTTTTGGTTTTGTTTTTTTTTTTTTGTATGTTGCTGTTCCCCCAATGGGAAAGAGGATGCACAACTCGCATCTTCAGCTAAGTGAGCCAGAAGATGATCTCAAACACTTCTACATTCTGTTTTTTCTTTCTCTTCCTGGATTTCCACTTATCTACTTGGTGGCATCATTTAAGTTCATTGCATTTGTTGAGAAATTTGTCTGTCAGTCTTCCTTCGGCATGCTTGTTCACGTTACTGCCTGTCAGCTAAAGATGCTTTCTTTTTTGTCTCATCATACTTATTGTTGCAATTCCTTTCTCTTCTGACAATTCCTAAGTTACTCTGTTTGCAACTACCTTATAGGAATTGCAGCTTTCCAATTGTCTTGTGTTTCCTTTTGCTGTTACTTCAGGATTCAGTAATCGAAAGAAAGTATGCTTACTTTTTTTTTTAAGTTCCCTAAACGTTGTGGTTTGCAAATCTATAGTCTTTTTGCCCATGTACATTTAGTGTTTTTTTCCTTCTTTACCTTCACACTGTCAGGATGCAAGTTTGCCCTTCCATGGTTCGTTTTTTGTTTTTTTTCAGTATCTTGATGAATCTCAAAGTGAAAGACTTATTTCTTGTTTATTATCTGTTTCTCCCCTTCTGCATAAATGTTTACATGTTAAGCTTACAGATTGGTGTATAGCTTTATTTGAAAACATCCTCTTAAATCAATATTCAATGTATTGTGTCTTTTCCTGTACTTATGAGTACGTCTGTCAAACTGTCTGACAGAAAGAGTTCTGCAGTCCAAGTTTGCAAACCACTGCAGTAGAGAGGGGCACTCTTACTTGTTCAAAAAGGTATTAATGCATGTATGCAGTTGCATTAAATCTGAGCAGTTTATGCATTTGTATCTTCAGTTAGCCCACTACATACTCAAAAATGGTGTCTTAATTCAGGGTGACCAGTTTTGGTCATATATATATACACACACACACATATATATATATATATATAAAAAATATAGTCAGAAGGCATCCCAAATGCAAGATAAATGACTAATGCTGCCAAAATTTTAGAAAATACTTGGAAACGTGAGGCTAATGACATGTCTGGTTTGAAAAGGAGTTGCTGAAACTGTCATCTGTACCATTTTTTCAAATGAAATGTCTCCAATAGCTGTTTTCTCTTATGTTGGTGTACAGTAGGACTAATTGAAGCTTGAATCACTGTGGGATGTTACGCTGTATAGAAATCTAAAAACGTTAATTTGTACACAGTAATAGAAAACTATTTGTACCAAGTTAGTCCAGTTATGTAGATATCTTCAGAAATAACACAGCATGTGTTAGTATAGGGTTACTAGAAGGTGGTATCATTTGGATTTTTATCTTCATCTTTTTATTCACAATATGTAGAAGTCTGCATATATTATCTAATTAATTCTATTTTTCAGGTGTCATTCTGTTTAAAAGCTAGCAGATCAATCATATAGTTAAGTCAACATCTTGCTTTTAATGCTTTAAAATACATAGTTTGGGGGTTTTTTTTGTCCAATGTGTTAAACCTCCTGAGCAGTTGCTTCTTTGTTCATTTCCCCATCCCCCAATAATCCTAGTTCATGTCATGTAAGGAGGAGTCTCGTACTCTGCTTCTTTCATAGAAGGTTGGGCTAAAGTCTGGTTTAAACTCTTCAGGATTTTTTAAATTACTGCAAATAGCTGTATTTTGGCCCATACGGGTTAAAAGTATGTGAATTATTTTTTCTTCCCTTCAGATGTGTGTGTTCTGAGCCTGAGAAACCCAGCAATGAAACTTTGCAGGAGTGGAGAAGTATGAATAAGTCTGTGGAAAATATAGCATGGAGTAACCTTACAGTTTCTGTGAGTATCTAAAAGCTATGTGTGTGTGTATATATATATATGTGTGTGTGTGTGTACATATCAAAAAGAGATACCCACACCATACCAGTCTTGCTTAATGGGCTTTCCATGTGTGTGTGCCTAGCTGTTCACACTGAAAGTAAAAGGTGTTTTGCACAGCAAAAATGTTATGAAAAACCTCAGTGCTTTACTTGAGTTTTAGCTGTAGTGTTTTCTGTGTACCACCAATGGCTCCTAGTCTACCATAATCACCTAGGATGGCACCTTCCCTTGAACTTAGCTTTTGTATTTATTTTATATTTATTATTTTATATACCTTTTCATTCTCTTACTTAGTATGTTCAGTCTTTAGAGAAACAGAACAGATCTAGAATTTGGTCATGTTTAAAATCAAAGTAGATTGTTAATGGAGATAATTTTTGTCATAAGTTAAACTTTCAATAAATTAGCCTGTTTAAAGACTAGGTTGTGGCAGTGCTGCTTCCAACTGTTTACTGACTTGTTATTTCCTTGTACTCCATGTGTCTACTTTAATTCTTTGCATTGCGTTTTAGTGAGCCTTTTGCATAGGGATTGTCTGACTTTGCTTTCTTTTTTATTGAAATTAATAATTCATGATGCTTTTCTACTTCACTAGAAATCTTTTCTCTTACAGTTGGGTTAATCTCATTTTGTAACATTTTTTTTTCCTTAACTGTATTGGGACAAAAGAAAGTCCAGACTAAGGATGTGGAAGAAATGATGATGATCTCTCTCTTTTTTTATATATTTGTTTTTCTTTTTGTGTGTTTGTCAGTTTGAACGTTGATGTTGCATAGTCTGCTTTTCCTGGGCTTAGCCCTCAGTCTGTCTTTATGCATTCAGTCTTGCGATGCTTTGAGAAATAGAACAGAAATGAGGTGAATGTAAAGAAGTTGTTTCTTCTTGGGCACCTCCCAGCATTTTGTCATCCTGAAATAATCAGTGATGGATACTGTGACTCTTCTGGAACAGACAGCACACATTTTTGGCATTTCAGGATGAGGTAGTTGTGAAGGAAAGAACCCCCTTTTTGTGCCTGTGAAAGTTCTCAGATGTGTTTTGTATTGAAAGGCTACAAGTTAGGTTGAAACTACTAAATTAATAAAACAAATTTAAGGAGTTTTTCTCTTTGCAGGAATGTTTAGAATTTCATGGTGTGTTTCGTGGATCAGCTTGTGGCCATCGTGGACCATACATTCCAGATGTTCTCTTCTGGTCTGTCATATTATTCTTTACAACATTTTTCCTCTCCTCTTTCCTTAAGCAATTCAAGACCAAACGCTATTTCCCAACTAAGGTAATTCTCATTAGAGACTATTGTTATCTTGTGATAAATACATCAGTACAACTTAATGGAGTTGAATTTTTACATTTTTCTTCAGAACCTTTTATTAAGATATTTCTCTAAGAAAAAAAAAAAAAAAAACCAAAACCAGAAAATTAGCTAGTAATTCTGAAAATGAGGACGTAAGAGCAAATAAACTGGCTGCTGAAAATTCAATGCTTATTCTCTACTTTCCTATCATTACAACAAGATGTTCTAAACATTAGAAGACCTAAGCAGTCTGTTTCCCCATATTAATGGGTATTGTCAGGTATCATTTGGAGGGATAATATTGCTGCTGTTTTCTTCACCTAGCTGTACAGAACAGTTGATTGCTTTCCTCAAACTGCTGATGTATGAAGGGTTCTGAGTGGTTCCTCAGGGGATTATTATTTCTAATAGAGGTTAATACAATGATTATCCTTGGACTGATTTACACAACTGACTTCTGATAGGAAAAATAAAGTGGTTAGATCGTCTCTAAACCTCAGTTCATCCCTACAATGTATTCCTAATGTTTAATAAAGTCACCTTTGATAACTTGAATCTGTTGCAAATTATCTCCCTCCTATTTATTAAAACATCAAATGTATGAATATTGATTTCAGAACGATTCAGTGATGTTATTGAATTAAGCTAACAACAAACTAGCTGTGATGGCCTGGTCTCCCAGTAGTGTTGAGAGGACAGGAAGATGAGGAAGGAGTTATTTTAAGTAATTTGCTGCTTGCAGTAGATCATTTTAAATGAGGTAATTGGATGAACAGTTGTACAGAATACTTAACCTTCTGCAACTTCAGAAGGTAAGCAGGCAGGCAGCTTAAATTTTAAAATAAAAAGAGAAAATATATATGATGTTCAGTGGTGGGGGTAGTATAATGTAAATAGACTTCACTATTCATAAGTGAGACAGTTGTTTTTCTATACATACAAATTACAATAATGGAAAGGAAAGAGTTAACACAAGTCTTTTCTTTATAGGTGCGTTCTACCATCAGTGACTTTGCAGTATTTCTGACCATAGTTATCATGGTTTTGATTGACTATCTTGTAGGAGTACCTTCTCCTAAGCTTCACGTTCCAGAGAAATTTGAAGTAAGAAATAAAATCTTATAAAAAACCTAACTTTTTAAATGCTTGCAGTTTCATAGACAGTAGAACAATGGAATTGTATAGAAACATAAATTTTACTTTTTTACTTACAGTGTAGTTGAAGAAGTAATCTCCCTTTTCTGTTTTGGATGTATGTCTCCTCTGACAGAAAAGACTATGCTTTATGCTATAATATCACTGAAAAGAAATGTTCTTTTGTGCAAATGTGCAGAAATGAAGGAATGGAATGAATCTGTTTCCATATAAATGTCACATTCATGTCTAACAGCCAAATCAGTCTTTTGGTCAAAGCCATTGGGGAAAAAAATCTAAACATGTATTTAAGACACTGTTGATCTGTTTATTGCAGCTGTCTGTAGCAATAAAATCTGCATTTTATCTTAGTTGTTTAATTCTTATTGTTGATGTTTGTTTTTTCAGCCCACCCGAAAAGACCGAGGATGGTTCATAGATCCTCTTGGAAGCAATCCTTGGTGGACCCTCTTGATAGCTGCTGTTCCTGCTTTACTCTGTACCATTCTTATTTTCATGGATCAACAAATAACAGCTGTTATTATAAACAGGAAGGAGCATAAGCTGAAGGTAAAAGTCAGTTTCACAAAACTCTAATGTTGTGCAAGTTGTTTATTTTAAATCAGGTTCATTCTGTAAGTCTGTGAAACATTACCAAGAGCCTAAATAAATGTGTGTGTTGACTAATAAAGAACAAATGTAATTTTGTAGACACTCTCAAAGTATCTAACTTTTTTGTAGCTATCTGTTGTTTACCAGCTAAGTTATAAATATGATATCATAGAAATAGAAAGTTTATAAAATTATTTGTTTGTTTAATTTTACAGAAAGGCTGTGGTTATCATCTTGATCTGCTCATGGTTGGTGTTATGTTGGGGATATGTTCTATCATGGGCTTACCATGGTTTGTTGCTGCAACTGTCCTGTCTATAAGTCATGTTAATAGCCTGAAAGTTGAATCTGAATGCTCAGCACCAGGAGAGCAACCAAAGTTTTTGGGAATCCGGGAGCAGCGAGTGACAGGATTGATGATTTTTGTCCTGATGGGGCTGTCAGTGTTCATGACGTCTGTGTTAAAGGTAAAAGACAAATTTTCCAAAATATTTGTATTTTTGTTGTGCTTTTGATATTGATATTGTAATTTAGCATTTCATAATGTTAGAAAGTTTTATTACGTTAAGTAAAATATGCCTGGACTCACTTTCAAATTGCATTTTTAACAACAGCTGTTAGTTGAATAGAAGCGATGGGGGGAGATGTAAGAAAATGAAATCTGAGCAAGCTAGAAATGTAGTGAGTAGTGAAGAAGGCAGCCTTTGTCCATGTTACCTGATTTTCTCGCCAGCTGTTTTTTAGTTGCTTGAGTCTGTTACCTAAAATAGCTCTTCTGTAGTTTCTGTGTGAGTGCATAAATGGAGAGAGAAAAGGAGTGTGATAAAGATACAAAGTTACTTGAGCAAAGTAATATAATATAGCAGAAGAAACAGAAACATCTGATTTAAAAAGTGATCATCAGAAGTGACATTGTTGACTTCTCATTCTTCTCTTCAGCTAATTAAACTTCCTTTGATGTTTAGAGTGTTAAGATTATCTTACACATCATCATGATGTGATAGAGATTTTGCAGGTCCTGTTGTGGCCTCAGTTTATATTTTGTCTCTTAATTTATATCCATAGTGCCCTTCTGAAGATTTTATTGGAAGAAAACCAATCGGTTGGTTGCCTTTTTGCTCAGATTTGAGTAAAATCTGTTCAACTTCTGCTTTGTTGTTTCAAATCCAGTGGTTAAAAGGAGAAATGAAAAAATGGTCTTTTTGTTGCCAAAATAGCAGATATGGCATAAATTGCATAATTGCTAGTACCGTTAAAGAACTTTATAAAAGTCTGTTTAAAGATATATGACAAGTCATTTCACAAAAATGTAGCTTTCAACAGCTGTTCAGCTTTAGACAATGGGAAGGAATAAACCTATGAACACACAGCTATAGATCTCTGGTTGGAAAGCTACTGAGAGCTCAGCTGTATAATGCAAATGATTAGAATTGGAATGAGAAATATTGAAATAGTTGTATTGTTGCTCAGAAGCAAAAGATAAAGGTGCCAATTGCTGAAGCTAGATGTTTACCCCATGTTTTAACAGCTAATTTTAAATTTTTTTTAATGGAAGGAAGAATAACGGGAATGGAATTACTACTATTTGCTCTTTATGAAATGTTTTTCTTTTTCAATGTGAATGGCTGTTACTGTTCAAAAGAAGGAAGGAGAACAAAGCCTTGCAGCTGTAGGTTGCTGTGCTTTTTTTCCATGTATGGATTTATTCTGATTTAATGCAGTAGAAGTTAACATAAATTAAGTACTAGCATGTCAAATTATACAGCTTACAGTGAAGACACTAACTTTATATATGTGTGTGTGTGTGGGGGTTTTATATATATAGAGACAGACTCACATGCAGTAATGAATCCCTAAGACATACATTTATTCCACACTATTTAAGTTTCAGTAAAGACTTTTGTTCAGGCTTGATAGCAGCAGTTTTTATTAAGATTTTGAATTGTATCTTGGCTGTCCTTTATTCAGGAGTTTCATGAATTCAGGAGCAAAGGAAGCTTTGCTTGCTTTGTGTAGGCTACAGAGGTTTGATGCAAGTGCCACTGAAATCATTGGACAACTCCATTATCTTAGTAAGCGTAAAGCTGATCTTCTTATTGGAGCAAAATTTAGCCCTGAATAATTAGCAGATTTTCATAGCTCAGTAGGTATGATGGGTTTTTTGTTTTGCCTGCTTCAGAAATGTAAGACTAGAAATGTAAGATCCCTTCAGAAATGTAAGACTAGTGATGAAAACTTCATATGGCAATTTCAAGAAGTTGGTAATCTCAGTACAGTTCCTATCAGATAGCAACATAAAGCAATATACTTAGCATTAATAGAAATCTGGGTTGCAACCTAAAATTGAATGAACGGGCAGTCAAGACTGAACTACTTTTTTACTCCTGGTGATAGTCTTGTTAGCTCTAGATTTTTTTGCTGCTCAATGATGCACGTATTTTCTCTATAAATAAAGAACGTCAGCTTCTACAGATTTCACTTAAGTAAAATATAAAGTAAAAAATAACTTGGTCCATGTCTTTCACTAATATGGACTGCTATGTTATGCCATGTTGATTGCACAAGTAACTGTGTGGGTGCTTTTTTCCTCCTCAGTTTATTCCAATGCCAGTTTTGTATGGTGTCTTTCTTTACATGGGAGTATCTTCATTAAAAGGCATTCAGGTAAAGTCTGATTTTAATGAGCAATGTGCTTTTGTTTATCACTAAATGAAAAGGAAACTGTTACATGTTACTTTATGTAGGCATCAATAAAGTTATCCCATATTGTCCAGATAGTATGTAGAATAATTTCCTGAGTTTCATGTTCAGATATTTGCTCTTAACCATGTTGTACCTTCACTTCTCAGTTCTTTTGCATTTATTCTTTCAGTAGCGTAGCTGAGCAAATTTTCTGAAATTTCTGAAATTTTGTAGCAGTAATGAGAGGCAAGGGAAAAAACCCCAACAAAACAGCCTCCAGCCCCACCCTCTCAAATGATCAGTGCCCTTCATTAGTATTTTATTTGGGATTAACTTATGTTTCTGCAGTCCCCTAAAAATGTTTATTTCCTGCCGGAGGGAAAGAAAATAATTAACTGCAGGATGATTTTATTTTTCAATGCAGTTTTTTGACCGTATAAAACTCTTTGGAATGCCTGCCAAACATCAACCTGACCTGATTTATCTACGTTATGTGCCACTCTGGAAGGTCCATATCTTTACAGTTGTTCAGCTCACTTGTCTAGTTCTGTTGTGGGTGATTAAAGCCTCAGCAGCTGCTGTTGTTTTCCCTATGATGGTAAGTTATCTGTTTTAAAAGTTAATAATTTTCCAAGAGTATGTGCGTCATCCAGGATCCCTTCAGAACGTATTTGCTGCTGTAAGAAAGAAGGGAATAGGAAAGAAACAAAAGAACCTGTAGTACAAGTTGTTCACTTTTGAAACACAAGGACTTTTAATTTCTTGAAAACAAGCAATTGAGTTGTGAATAGCTATTGAAAGTGGAAATTAATTAAGTTTGTGGTAAGATGAAACTAGTACTAGAAAAAAGGGCTTCAGTTAAAGATTCTGAATGTACTGAAAGTGTGTGTGCATTTTTGTTCATTTAAATAGCTTAATATAAATGATTCTATTTCTGGTTCCCTTAAGGTTTTAGCGTTAGTGTTCATTCGCAAGCTCATGGATTTATGTTTCACCAAAAGAGAGCTTAGCTGGCTTGATGACCTTATGCCAGAAAGTAAAAAGAAGAAAGAAGATGACAAAAAGAAAAAACAAAAAGCAGTAAGTGTGAAAACAATCAAACTAAGTATGTTGTCAAATACTAGAAAATACTCAGTGAGATTTAAAAGAATTTTAAGTGGCCTGAGCATATGACCATTCTTTACTAATGAGATTTAATGCTAGAGGAGCTCTTACTGGCAATCAAGTTAAGAAAAAGTCACTGTTTCGATGATGCTATTATGAACTATGACTCTTATTTGTGATTAAAATTAGCAAGGAAAGTGGAAAGAAGCAGTTTTTAGCACAAAATGCTGTTTTCTTTGTCTTTCATCAGGTTAGAAGGTGAGTGTTGATGGGAAAGAAAAGCAGTGGAGTAGGGATCTTGACCCTGCTTGAATTAATCACAAAACTCTTCATCATATCAGGGACATTTTGCTTTTGTGTGTTTGTAGAACTGTAGTTAAAACCAACTGCTAGTTACCATTAATGTACTAATATAGCTTGTAGAACTTCTCCATAAATGTCTTCCCTAACTGTATACCAGCTAGCTGAACTCCTTACAAAACATGTAACACCCTCCTTCCTCACTCCCCCCTACTTGATAAAACACTTCTAAGAAAAAAAGGTCTTAAACTGAATCTCCTGCATTCAACTCCAGTACCTACAGAAGAATGCCCTTTAGCCCTCAGAAAATTAACTGTCAGCATGAGATACTTCTTTGATTTCTGCTGTATGAGTAATTTTATAAACTTTTTACTTGGAATTTACAGGAAGCGGAGAGAATGCTTCAGACAGGGGACAGTGAAAGTGTGCACCTTGCGTATGGAGAAGCGAATTTGGGTTTTCCTGTAAAAACCCTAAAATACAGGTATAATGAAATGGTGGTCTTTTAAGAGGTTTTGTATCATGTGCTGTAACTTGCTTTATATTAAGTTGGTCATGTATGAGTTGAATTAATTTTTTTTTCCCAAGCTTGTAACTCATCCATGACTAGGAAGTATGAAGATATATCTCATGGTGCTATAGTAGCATTTTTATGTTGCATTGTTCTTTAAAACTGCCTCTTAATTATAAATTTACATGACCATCTTGAACAGATCAGATGACTCAATTTCGACCAGCTGTACTCAAGGTGAAGAAGCTTCCTTGGTCAGTTTTCATGGAATACTTGTGTGTTACTGTGCATGAAATACTGAGTATTAAGCAACTAATAGCATCAGTTGAGCCGTGTGTTTACCAGCTACTTGGATTTTTCAGAAGAAGTCTAAGTGTGCAGTTCTTTGATGGTTTATTTAAGTGAGGGCTAAAGTCTGTTATTTCTGTGATATTTACTGGCAGCCATTTTTATTTTAAAAGGTCATTTTCTGAAAGTAAATGTGAGGACAGGGTTACCAGTTCTCTTCTAGAGAAGGAAGTGCTGGAATTTCACTGATGGAAAGTTCCTTCAGCACTGGAAGGTGTTTTTTCTCAGTATGTATCTCCCTTACTGGGGATGTATTCAGCTTTAGTTGTCATGTATTCTACAACTGTTCAACACACCTGGAAGATGTTACAGATAAATACCTTGCCAGTTTTTTTACCTCTTTAGTACTAAGGGTTCATAGGTTAAAAATGGGCTTTCCTATGGATCTAGGGTAGCGTCAGGTCTACCCTGATCTGAGTTGGGAACAGGCAGGTTTTTGGATTAGACCCCTATTCCTGCTAAGCAGGCTTAGTCAGACTTTAGCAACTCAAACGAAAATGCTAAAGCTTTTTTAAAAAACATTTGAGTTGGTAATTCGTCTCACAGTATAACTATGATTTCATCAATGTGTGCATGTGTGTTCACTGTATATTTCACTGTCTTGCATCTTGTGGGGATTCCTGAGGAAAAATGTGTTTGAAAGATTTCTGTGCAATTTGAAGAAATCTTACAGATGCCATGGGGTAGATTCTGAAGTTTAAGTATGGAACAGAACAGAAAACATATCTACAGACAATACTTAAGTCTGTTGTACTTACAAATATGTGGATGGCAAAGAGGGAAATAGGTTTTGAAAGTTTACCATTTGCGAGGGTGAACTTTTATTCTGCAAGACTTGTGGTGGCAAAAAAAAACCTTGAAAAACATCTAATAAGGCTCTGTGGGAAAAAAATAACTTGAAACCTGCCTAGATATTGTGACTTCTAGATTTTTTTTTTTTTTTACTAGTTTTAAATCTCAGGTGAGTTACCAGTTTCAAAATTTTATTAACATCTGCTCTTTTGCCTTTGATTATTTCCTGGAAACAACTTAAAATAATTCTGATTTACGAAAATCTTAGCAGGATAGCATGATTAATTTCATTATTTCTGAGCATGTGGAATAATTTCCTGAAGTTAGAGGTAATGTAGAAATGAGGTATCTCTCAAATACTTTCAATGTCTTAGTGGTATCTGTGTGAAAAACTGTTTTAAGATCCTATGTGATTAAGGCAGCGCCAGTGAGTTAAATTTTCAAATTTTTGTTGAAATACCTTTATAAGAGATGAAGTCAACTTGTGGCTGTGTAAATATTGAAAGAAGGCACAACTGATGTAAATTATGAGTGACAATAAGTATAATGCTGTTGCAAGATATTGAATACTAACCAGAAAGTATGTTTGTTCTTTAGCATTGATCCCTCAATTGTAAACATATCAGACGAAATGGCCAAAACCGCACAGTGGAAGGCTCTTGCCATGAGTACTGAGAATGCCAAAGTAACCAGAGCTAACCTGAGGTAGCTATAATTACTCACACATTTTCTAACTATGGTCTTGTGTTTTACCAGCTGATAGCTGTACTTGTATTTCTTGAAGTTTATCTCAAAAAAATTGGCATACGTGGTTCTTAAATCTGCATTGATTTTTTTACTTTTGAGGAACTTGAATTTGAACTTAATCTTTGTTTTTTACTCTGAAGTGAAACAATTTCTATAAGGAATTCAAATTGTTTTATTAAATGTATTATTACAATTTTAAAGTTAATCTTTATTTTCTTAATACAATTGTATGCTACTCTGATGGGCTTAGGGTTTCTAAAAGCTTTGCTAGAGTGTATATGAGCATGGGAACTGTTTGATCCTGAACATTACAAATGCCATGGGGAATAAAAGGTAAGTCCAGCACTTCCATTGTTGCTTTATGCTTCCCTAGGATCTGCCCCCTGTTTTTGTGGGTGGATTGGTTGCTTTGTTTGTCTTTCTCCAGATCATTTTTAAACTCTAAAAATTAAACCTGGCTCAAATATTATCTTCACTGGGTAGGAAGTAGACTTGAATGAAGTACTAGACAGATTTGGAGTCCTCGGTGCTATGAAGACTTCCTGTAAGCTGACATGCCTCTTCCGTGTTGGCCAGGAGCTTCCTTGTCAGTGAGCCCCCCATCAAACAAGAAAGTCTGTGTGCAATGAATCATTCTGCTATTCTGTCCTAGTTTCTTCGCTGTCTTGCTGAATCTATCAAGGGGAGCAAACCAAATCCTGAATATTTGTATAGAATATCTGCAACTTCCTGAAAGGCTTGTAATTTATAGGGACTGGTATCTGTGGACTGTTCCGTCACAGTGCAGCTATTGCTTAGTGGTTTTTATGTAGGAAAGAGGGGAGAATTGGCCTGGTTGACTTGGAAGACTAAGCTTATGCAATCCTGTTGTCTGTACGTGCATCTTCTTTTGTTTGATCCATTTCAGCCAGATCTGTCAGAGAAAGGCAGGTTTCAGAGATATGAAATTGTCAACTTTTGTGTAAATTTACGTCTCTGAAAGATTTGGTGGGGAGGGAGTGTTCATACATAATCATCCAAGCTATCAGGTACTGTTTAGCTTGCATCATGGAAACAGCAGTAATGACTGACCACTTAGCACTTGTATGCCATCTCTTTATTCAGTATGTGCATTGCTCCAAACTAGGTATGGAAATACACTTTGTTTTGCCCAGACGGTAGGTTAACCAAGGGTGAAGAAGGAGACAAAGAGAGAACTTGGGAGTTACTGTAATAGGAAAAGCTGAAGAGACTCATTAGTGCAGGCACCATTTCCAGTGAATCATCAACCTGTATTGTTTAAACATTTTAAAATGCTTAAATAAATGTTTTAAACGTTTTTAAAACATTTTTTAAAACTTGAGTACCACACAAAGTTTGTGTTTGTGAAGAGAGAAGGGCTTGTGGGTGATG